TGTATAATAGCAGCCAGTCAGCAGTCGGTAAACATGTCAGAAGCCAGACAAACAGAGATACACGCGTGCCCTGCTTGACACGCAGAGAAAAGGAGCAGTCGGAGTAAAGTGTTAAGGACGACCCAGTGTCAGGCGCTAATTACCGTCGACGCTTCCCAAAGGAATCCTCCGCCGTGTGACGGTTGCTGCTCACCAACGTGCAGCTGGTGAGCAGCAACCGACGAGCCGCCGAGGCGTCGGAGCGTCGCTCCGCCTTCTATTCCTGCTGAGCTCGGTTGCGTCTTGTGATATCATTTCCGCTGTGCAGCTCCCGAGTGTTTGTGCGCCCCGTGGAATCAATGAGCACTGGATGACTTTAGTATGGATTAGATTTATGTGGCTGGTGATGTCATGGGCCGTGTTTCATCAGCGGGACCAGGACCGTCTCAGTTACAGCATAATTAATACGTCTCGCACGGTTAGTCCTGTATGATTTCAAACGCAGTGCACGGAGATCCTGCAGCACAAGGAAAGGACATCACGGTGTAACGTTTCAACGGTTAAAGGTGGAGCTGCAGATGGAGGCCTTTGCCATAAAGGTGCGTTGTGAAGAAACTAATCAAATCGATATTATTTGGCTCTCTGAGGGCTGAGGAAGGTTGCTTGGTTAGTTAGTCTAACTTGGTCCAATCAAGACGTCAGTTTGGTTTGTATCAGTGAGCAGTGAGTTACTCTATCAGGGGGGGCAGGCCGTTCACTGGCAGGCACCACCCCACCAACTGAGTGCCTTTTACCATTTTATTTGCGAGACGTGAGCGATAGGAAGTCGATCCATCGAGGTGGTCGGTTGGGTGGGCATGGTGGCATCGCTAAGCCTTCAGGAAGGGTCAAAAGAGAGGGGGGAGGAAACAGAGAGAAATGAAGGGTTGGGAGGAAGGGGTTTGGAATACGTCAACGGGATACCGGAATGGAGGCGTGTTGAGGCGTGTTGAGGCGTGTTGAGGCGTGTTGAGGCGTGTTGAGGCGTGTGGAGGCATGTGGAGGCGTGGTCCTGCTCACCTGAAATTACGCCAATTAGCTTCAAAACAAGTAGTAATATCAGCTTTTCTGTTGGCCGAACAGGAAAAATATCGTTGTTGTCATCAGACAAATGACGTTAGCTGGATACAAACCGTGAACCTTCTATTCTGCAGAGTGAAGCCAATGTGTCTTAAGTGTCTTAAAACTTCTGTTGACTGGCCATAAGCAGGCGACTCCTCCAGATGTAAGAAGTCTGATTGTATGGAAGGTTTACAGCCAAAGACAAGTACCAGGGACGGGGCTACGTATTGTATGGACGACGTCTCAATGGACTCATTCCCTCAGTAAACATCGTAAACATCAGTCTCAATCTCTAGTTTCAAGAAATTCAAGAATTGTCACTCAAATCTTGGTCCATTCAGACTAAAATTGGCCATGAAGCAGGAGTTTCCAGGTGGGTTTACAGCTAAAGACAAGTACCAGGGACGGGGCCACGTATCATATGGACGAGCTCGGTATCCAGCGAAAGTCAAGAAAATGAGTAAAGGGAAAATTGCGTTGTTTTTTTTTCAACTTGAGGCAGTTTAGTTTGCTGTAGAAAAGGCACCGCGCACACAGACGAGAAGATGAGGCGCTCAGCAAGACGCTCCTTCTCATTACAAAGAGCCACTACAGGGAAAAGGTCTTGATATGTTCATGTCTACATTGTATGCATTTAGTTCATTGGAAGCGTACTAGAAAGATAAATAAATATTATTCCTAAATATATATTTCCATATTATAAATAGTATTGTTATAAGTATAACACAATTAGAATTGTGTTCTATAGATATACTCGTGGATTTAGCCAGCTAATGGTCCATAATTATTAATCCTTTAATATAATAATTTACAACTATTCCTGTTAGAATTTACATATTTTAAGATTGTACCTTACATTAACTTTAACTCCAGAAATGATAAAAGAGATAACTAAAAAAATAATTTATTACACATAAATCAAAAGTGTCATGTCATAATATAGATGCGTACAGATGTAGATCTGACTCATTCTATAATGAGAACATGCGTAGTGGTGAATATGCATCACGCAGGAATATTCACGCTGCACAGCTGCAGTTTTGGGAACATTTCCTTGTGGCTTCTGTGCGAATCTCTGATGTCTCCTGGTTGGAATTATTCAAAGAGGCCACGCGTGTGCCGTTAACGCCAACCCGGGTGGTTAATCTTCTACAGCAATGGCAATCGCTGCACAAACTGTATTCACATCATACTCATTGAGTTGCATGCTTTGGATTAGCTTATCTACATACGTATCGCACAAAACACCTACTTGAACATTCCACACAGATATTTTTTTCGAGTAGAGGGGAATAATTGCAATCCGGCTATTTTCCGTGACTTCTCTGGATTTGCTTGTCATTCTTTTAACCTGCGATAGTTGGGGCTCCATATGCATGCAGATATCCACATCTGAAAAGTCAAATTGCCGGCAATAGTCAAATTAAACACGGACTAGAAACGGGCCATCGGTTATTAACCCTGGAACGTACGACGCGGCGACAATAAAACTAATTTCCATGATAAAAAAAGGGGTCATTTGGATTTGCGGGTGAAGCCTGTCTGCATAAATATGGGAAATAAACGTACGTGGGAAGAGCGTCGAAGCAAGAAAAAAAGTAGAACGTTGGACAAGTTCCCCCAGAGACAGAAGCGGTGCTCATTGGGCGGATGGCTCGGCGCCGACAGGCAGTGAATGCAGCCGGCTCTTCGCTATCCGTCACATCCTATTGTGTTCTAACGGCACGTTGTTCAAAACTCCAATAAGCCAGAGTTCCTACAGGGAGAAGGTTTTGTGGGGAAAGTATTAAATATCCCAGGATTTTATTGCCCTCCTTTCATTCAGATCCTGACGTGCCATTTAACCTGCAGTATTCAGGGCCTCCATTGTGTGTCCCCAAAAAGAAAAGCACAATGTGTTAACCATTGTGTGATGGTGGCTTCACTATGCAGAGCTCATCGCGCCCTTCAGAGGCCTCCGAGATAATCCTCTGCATTCCCTCTCGCCTCCTGTGCCTTGGGTTCGGCTTCTGTCCGTAGGTCCCAGAACACAGAACCCTCACCCAGGAGACCGCCGCTCGTCTCTCGACTAATTTCAGGTTACGTAAATGATCCTACCCGACCATGTCGAAGAGGGCCGCGGGGACGAAGAACCAGCTCATCAGGAAATGGGTGAAAAATGTATTAATAAAACTCAATCAAAAGAATACCAAAGATACAAGAGGTATAACAGCTTATTGAGAATAATAAAGTCCCTATTAACTATCAGCAGCTATGTGACATGATCATAACCAAACCACAAATAAAAACATGCATTCATGCCTGTGGAGGCGGAGGAGTGTGTGTGTGTGTGTTTCAGTCTGTGAGATATCGGGTTAGCTAGAAGCTAAGCTAATGACCACATGGCAGGCCTTTGCTCACTTTCCTGCAGAGTTAAAACTCTCTCTGGGTGAATCTATATGTGTGGTGGTAAAGCAAAAGGAAGACTCGGGGACAGCAGGGGACAGCAGGGGACAGCAGGGGACAGTGAGACACGACAGCGATTAACATCCTCACACACACTGGGAAGTGAATCCTGGGCTCTGACACCAGTTCCAAATGCCGGCGAAGAGAATATTACAGCCCAAAATACAATATAATAGATTTCATGCAGCGTGCAACAGGCGGTGGGGCCGGTAAGCGTAGACGATCGCTGGTTAATCAGTACAATAAAGCCTAAAACCCAACAGACACGTAAGCCTCACTGTGCGTTTCCTCGAGTCACGTCCAACTCAGCATCCGCTCCGTCCGGGAGAACCGGGCTGACTTACAGAGGATTACGTTACTTCAGACATGTCCTGGTCTCTTGGTAACCAATGAGCACCGCAGAAACGACAGAATGTCCTTCACAGCTACCTGCGTATGTTAAATAAGGTAGCAGACAGATGGTCGTTACTATTAAGGAGCAGGGACTTAGAATGAAGCTGAAACAAGTGGTTCAACAAGCACTCTAATTGGACTTATGATATGATTTTTTTAATGCATACCCCTGCTCTACAAAGTTAGTAGGAGCACTGGTATTTTGCATAAATTAAGAAAAATTATTTTCACACTGTGGCACAAACATATTTTATTTCATTGTTTAATTCAAATTGTCTCCTTAAAATAACATTATTTTGACAAAATGATCAGTGTTGTGACCATTAAATGTGTGTGAGTAAAAAAAAGTCTTGTATACTGATACACAACTGGTGATTTTAGGGGGGGGAAGGGTTCCTTTAACATAATGAGGAGCAGGTTCTTCATAACCTCACAGAGATATAATGTCCTGTCCTTTCTTCTCACACACTGACGCACAACAATGTTTCTCCTCTCGTTTCACATGGAGATAACTAGCGTGACCTCCCCGGCTCGGCCATGGCACCAGTGCCCCATAGTCCCTTTTTTAAAGTTCTTATCAAAAACCAGACAGCGCTGAGAGACGCAACTATTGTGTCCTCCGAGCCAATGAGGACCTCGGCGTCCTGCGGAGGAGGTGTGTGCGTGTTGAGGAGGAAACCGATGCAGGCCCACGCAAAGGCCTGCAGGCTGTTCGCTTGCACGGGGGCCTCGGCACAATTATTGCAGCGTTCTCCGTCTGCACGTGGGGGAGAGCTGTCATCTCATGCGTGCACGTCACAGCGCCGCTGAATGGGGAGAAGGCCGTCTATGATTGCTGTGAAAGCTGAGCTCAGCCGTCCTCTTGAAAAGACAAACGCAGGGGGGGAAATAGAGGACAAAGAACTACATAATCACTTGTGTTTTGCTGGGGCGTTTATGTGAGTGAGTGTGTGTGTGTGTGGGGGGGGTTGACGAGAACAAACCCCGGCAGATATCCTTAAAATAGAAAGCTAACAGCTCGTGTCACTCGGCTGCTGACAAGCAGAGGATAAGAGCCCTCGCCGTAATCTGTGTGTGTCCTATCTGAATCTCCAAACAGGCTCCTGAACATGGGACGGGGACGCCTTCCCGTGGCCCGGCATTTCTGGAAGAAGGGGGTCCGAGAGGCTACTAAGTGGCTCCTATCTGGTGTGGAGGGCCGGCTCTCAGTGCCCTCCGGCTCATGCTGACACGCGCACTTTCAGTGACGAAGCCCACAGAGGACGCTTGGGTTTGTTGGGGACGGACGAGGTGTGGATTGGGACGGCCTGTGATCCCAAATCCACTGCTTAGTGCGCGTGGACGGTCCCCTTTCTGCAGCGCCGTTTGGAACTCAGGTCAAACCGGTCTGTCGCGTGGCGCTTAGTCGGGTCCCAAGTGTCTGATCACACTTAAACTCACGTAAGTGGAACCCTTGCAGAAAAAGATGGTTCTAAGCAACAGTCATACCTTATGTTCCTCTGACATTACTTCTGCTTTATGAATTACATACAATCAAACTATCAATTTCACACTCAAGGTCCAGATAGTACAAAACATTGACAATAACAATTGGAAAAGACAATTCGTAGGTGAGGAGCAGGAAATGTCACTTAACGGTTTCCTAAACTATTGTCAGGCCCCCGTTTTATGAGAGGACACAATCAGGGATCAGGGGAGACAATTCGACTGGTGACACATGAGGGGCAAGTGACCTGAAAAGGGGTTGATCTTTCAAAATAAGACAGACAAGACAAGGAGACGAGAAAACCCCAACGACGATGCTTTGGGTACAAGTTAACACTGATCAACTTGCTCATACTTCAAAATCATTTACAGCAAGTAAGTGGACCTATTTACGTCCTTTGGACAAATATAGGATCACACCACCACACACGTATATAACAGTGTAACCTGTGATTGGAACACCATGGACATTAATGTACTAATATTACAACTTGGCCTCTACTTTAAGGCTTTCCTCCAGATGTTGGCACCTGGCTCCTGGCATGTGCTCCCGTTCAAACAGAACCAGCGTCAACGCTGATACCGGGGTGATCGAGTTTGGACCTCTGTCCACCGCGTCCATTCGGAGAGGCCACCAGCTGGGGAAGCTGGAGCTGGAATCCTTCCAGGGGAAGAAAAGGGAAAACACACAAACTGTGGGAACAGACGATTCAACCGGGACTCGTCACACATTGATGACGAGCCACTGAAAGATTCCAGTTTAGGTTCAAACACATGCAGAATGACTCTGATTCATTACTGGTCCACACAGGCTGGTAACACCAGTTGGCCCATCAGTTAACGATCTACAGACATGAACCAACTGGTGCTGCTGCAATCGAGTGTGTCATCATTGTATGACAGGTGATTGTGTGATGATTTTGAAGTGTAAAACGCTGACTGTGACGTGTGAGTAGCTCCACACACCTCGACATAAAAACGTTAACAAGCGTATTATGTGAACAATGCACTGGATAATATGTGAAATACTATCATCCATATACAAGTACACCATTACATAACCACTAAATAGAATCGCTGACAAAATGAAAAGGCTGACATCATTGACCCAGCAGCCGTAAACAACCGGGTCATCACGTTCACATTCACTGTCACCATCAATGATGTACAAGTGCGTAAACAGGCCGATATGAATGAACCGAACGGGCACGAGTGAAGCTCTGTGAACAATAATCCTCGAGCTCGGGTAACGACATTGTTAACATTGTTATTGGATTTTTTTTAAAGTAATCTACTTGAAACGGATGATTCCAAACCACCTGCACATCCTCATTTAAAAGCACTCAGGCGGTCATTATCAGCAACATCTGACAACTTAGCCAACAGCCCCCCCCCATCAGAGGGAAATCAAGATGCATGCTGGGTCGCACTGTAGATATTCACTTCAGTTGTGTCTAATGCGAGCAGGTATTTGAGGACGTGCAGGAGTGAAGCTGAGACGAGGGCTGCTTCACTCCACTGGGAACCGAGACGTGCACAAACGCCCGTTTTCTTTTGGAATTAAAAGGTGTTTGTGATGCATGTATGCACAAGCATTGATCCAACGGTGTCACAGTTTTAGTTTTGGTTTATTATATATGTTTGCAAATTCTCCTGCTTCTTGTGTCCCGTGTTCACTTGTCTTCCTACCTTTGTATAATTTCCCACCTGTTATTTACTATGATGATCTGCTGCGTCCTGATGGAATTCTGTCTAATTGGCCCTCTGTGCCCCTGTGAATTTAAATGGGAATTTAAATTCACATGGGAATTTAAGAGGGAATTTGTTCCCTCATGTGCATCCTGTATTTACCCCTCATGCTTTCTTCTGATGTACCTTTTTTTGTCATTTTTTTCTGGATTTTCTACTTTTTGGTCTGAAGTTTTTTGTTTCTTGAAATGTTTTGCTCATTAAAATATCTGTCAATCACCTCTCTGTTCCTCCATATATATAATATATATATATTGCTATATGCAGCTATATGAACTGAATCATTCTCACCTCTGAGGAGGGCGCTTATGGGCAAATTAAAGAAGCAGCTCTGAGATCGGCTTTACCCGGCTGTGCTAAAGAGTTTCCCATCATGCCTCGGGCCATTTACCATCCGGTGGCCTTGCTCTCAGCCTGCTTGTCTTCAGCTCGCAGACTGCAACTCACCTGACTGCAGCCCCCCAGCCCACTTTTTCCCATTCGGCTAGCCAGCAGCACCTTCTGAGCCATCCCAGCTCCTGACCCGTTCCTGGGGTCCCAGTTGGCTGTTCAACGGGTCCCGTTGGCGAAGCCATGTGTGTCGTTTTGCCCCCACCCCCGCTGAAGGACTGTAATTTTTGTAGTGCTGGAGAAGGAAGACAATGACTCTGGATGATAACACCAAATGTCAGATGTAATAAAGTCTCAGTGTGACTCTGCACTATGTGGGCTGCTGTTTTTAGACCCGTCTCCAGGCAACAGACTATTATTTTGGTCCGCGAACAGACACTTCAATTTGAGGTTGCAGCCAAATAGCTTTGAGTTGCTGCATAAAATAACCCTGCAAACATGTTCTCATTGATTGACGCGCGTGGCTGGTGTGTTGCGAGCTTGGATATCACAGTTTTGGTGGACCAATGGCGCACAACTGGCCGGGGTGGCTCAACATCCGCGAGTCCCAGGAGCATTCACCCACACAGCGTTATTTGATTTGTTCTTGCAGCCACAGCCTAAGTGCTGCACGCAGGCATATGGCCAGGCCTGCGCCGGGCCTAATTACACGCATTATCTCATTCACTTTTGTAAGGGACTGTTGTGCCATCTTCCATTTATTTAATTAGGCTTTTCACGTTAGAAAGAGCCGGTTTGAGCTGAAATGTCCTCGTATGGGTGGAGAGATTATAGGCTTTGCAGTTCACAAAAATATATATTTTGCTCCCTTCTTTATTTTTTTATTCTGATGCGGAGTAATTTGTCGAGCAATTAGCCATGCTAATTCAATTTTTGTAGCGCTAATCAAACGGTTATGCTAAAACATTCTTTACATTGCCAGTCTGCTGTCTGTTCCCATTTAACTTGATGGCTTAAAAGAGCCTCCTACTCCTGGCTCCCACTCCACTTGATCACCTCATTTGCATTTTATATTGGTAAATCAAATTAAGCACCCGTAGCTTTTAACATGATTGACTGCAGCCAGGGCTGCTCAGATGGGACTTTTTGCGCACAGAAAATTAGACCAATTTTAATGTGCAGGGCAGAGAGCTTGGCTCCCCTCACATTCTGCAAATGGCATTCACTCAGCTAATTAAAATGATTTTTTTCCCCTTTTTTGTCCGTGTGTGCCCGAGGTCTTTCATAGATTTGCCCACCTGCTGTTTTACTGTACATCTGATTTCCCTGCCCCCCCGCCCCCCCCCCCGCACACAAACAAACGGGTGGTTTCCTCTCAAGCTGGTTCCACTACTCCCTGGACGCAATGCACGATTACCGGCGTTCTATAATGTAACCGTCGACATAACCAATACCCGATCAATGGGCTTCAGTTTTCCCCCGTTTTGCAGGCGATAATGCATTTTTCTAAATGGCATCGACCCACGGCTACGACTGGAATCGTTGCTGTGGAAGAAACTCGGTATCACTTTATTATGGTGGTGCAGAAGCTTCTAGATTTAAAGAGCAGAATCACTCAGTAATCATCCGTTGAGCCAAAAGACACCTGGTTTGTCTGTTATTTTAATCACTGAACATCAAATATGTTCTATTTTCACCTTATTTCAAAAAACAATATTCCTATTAAGCTGTTTACGGGTTGAATAATACTGCCTGGCCAAAAATAAGTTTGGATTTGCTGTAACTAAGCAAATAGGTGCGAGCCTCTCTGGGATAATTACTGCCTGGGCAGCAACACTATGTGCTCAGAGAATGAGGTCAGCTGACTACCCGAATATACTCAATGAGCAGGTTATTCCATCGATGGGTTTGTTCTCCCCGGGTGGCACCTTCCAAGATGACAATTCATCGGGCTGAAATAGTGAAAGAGGTTCAGGGAGCTTGAGACATCATTGTCACACATGGAGTCCAGAGCTCAACCCCACTGGGAATCTTTGGGTGCGTCTATGTGCTGGATGGAGGCTTTTTGCCACCATCATCAATACAAGATCTTGGTGAGAAATGAACGCTGGATGGAAATAAATCTTGTGACGTTGTAGAAGCTTATTGAAACAATGGCACAGCGAATGCGCGCCGTAATCAGAGCTGCAGGCCGTCCAACAAAATATTAGAGAGTGTGACCTTTTTCTTTGGTGGCGACTTTTCTTATTACGCTATTTAACTGTCTCTCCCTCCTGCAGACCCCCTCTAACGTCTCTCTTGGTCAGCGGACAGCATGTCAATGTGCATGGTGCCTTTTTGGAAAGTTGAGGTTCAAGCATCAAAACAACTGATTTGGGTTCAAGCATGATGGCGCTAACTTGAACGACTAAGGACTTGTGACATAGAGACTCCCGTCGCTAAGGACCAAAGTCAAAGACCCGCCTATTGTGCTGCCGCTCACACAGATGGGTTTACGTGGGACTTGGATGGAAGGCTGTTGGGAGTAACCGGTTGTGATTAATATCCATTTCCAATGAGTCTTATTGATAAGTGTTACATTTAAAATAAGGCCCATGTCTGAACATTTAAACATCTGCATGAAGGCATTTTATTTCAAATTCAGAACAGTTTTATATTTGGAGTAATAGTTGAATGATTTACATAATATTTGGCGTATTGGTTGGTTTCAGGATGTTGAGACATTTGTAAATCTTTATTTATCTATTTTTACCAAACTCTTTGGTCTGACAGCGATTCTGAAGAATTGTTTTTTCTGCTGGCAGCAAATGAGGAAGAGATTTAAACATACATCACATGACTGAACAGTGAACATAATACGTAAAGATGGCAAATATCTCTGATTTTTTATGATTGTACATTGAAATCCTTTATATCTATTTTAGGAAAAGAGTTGCATGTGTGTGTGTGGTCCGAATACTTTGAAAAAGCAATCCAAGTTATGCAAGCTGGTTCTGGGGAGGGGAGCTGGGGGCAGCAGGGAGGAGAGAAAATGCTGTTATTTGAGTAGTATTCCCACTGGGAATAATGGGTGAAGCCGAGTGTCGGCAGCAGGCGCTTCCCCGGGAACGCAACAGTCAGCTTAATTGCGGCTTTTAGGATCATTACTGCTCCCATGTGAATGTCAAAATGGACAAGGCTAGTAGGACTTTGACAAACAGGCAACCGCCACCCACCGCCACGCCGAGCAGTCACGAGGGGGCCGGCCCACAACCGGCAGAAAAATACAGGCCTCGTTTGTCCTCCTCGCTCATTCAAACCAGGTGGGGGGGGCGGCGCTGCTACAGAATAGATTTTCTCGGGAAAACAAAGCCTTTGCCATCCGAAAAAAGACCGGTCCTGGTTAAGAGAAGCTCATTTTCTTTCGTCTGATAAAAGGCAAACTCGGGACGCTGCAGTAATATAATATTTACAGAATGGTCGTCATGGCTACGGATGGCTCATTACAGACTCCGCTGGTTGAGGAGCCCAATTCATCATTCAAGAGCAGAAGCTTGCATCCGACTGAAGGGCCCCGCAAGGGAAGTGGCTCTCCAAGAGCCTTGGCCTCATCCCTACAATCATCCAATGAGGTCCTCCATTGACCGCCATTCCTCACGGCGTGCAACATAATGCAAAGCACTCCTTTTCTAAAAGCTTTGTCAAAAGTCTTCACTTGTCATAATTCTGTCATTGATGCCTCACTTCAATTTTTTTTTTCTAAACGTGTCAGGAATAATGATCAGAGAGCACATTTAATCTTCTCTTTTTTGAGACGATGCTCAGAGACCTTTTATTTGTGCAGACTTTTTTATTTATGTTTCCCGATCGGGGCTTCAGTCGCTCTAATCTTATTATATTACACGACTTTAGAGCGCGTGGAAACATATTTTTTAATCACGTTTCCGGCCCTAAACCCGTCTTTTACCAAATGGAACGCGAGGCACTTAATGTAACTCAGCGCCACCTCCTCTGACATGAACCGCTCCGTCATTCAGACAAACACAACGTGGCCCTACTCATGCATTTTACGTTTTACTGCATATATGCATGTATGTGTATGTTCTTTTGGTCAACGCAGGCCTGTGGACGCCCTCCACACTGACGGTAATGACGAACACAAGCCATTTCATTTTGAAATCAAATAGTTTGACATCATTTGTCAATCGAAACTTTTGCAGCTTTGTGTTATTTTATCAATTGAGGAAGATGGATGCAATGTGGATATAGTGTGTGTGTGTGTGTGTTTGTGTGTGTGTGTGTGTGTGTGTGTGTGTGTGTGCGTTTGCATGTCTGAATTCCTGCAGCGTGGTGACTGAGTTCTTTTAATGGTCTAATGCTATTTTGTATTTCTTCAAATCACCAACAAATCCAAGTAAAGTATTAATGTGTGTCGCAGGAAACACAAACGCTGCACTAATAACCAAATGTTGTGAGAAATAACTGTACACACACACGCATGTGTACGTGTGAGGTCTCTAGTAGCGTTAATATGTAAATACAAAACAAGGATGGTGAACGCGCTGCTGCTTCTTCCCGCTACTGTCTTTGCGAGCGGCGGCTGAATTGTGGAACAAAGCGCAGCGCCGCCTGAAAAGAAGCGTCCGGAGCCGCTTCAAATGCCGCCGAGCGGAATCAATTTCCCCCCCGTGTGATATGCATACAGGTAAGAGCCTTTTCAATGATTTTCCAGTCAAGCTTGTTTTGGTTTCCAGCGTTGTTGTGCCAATTTCAGCGGCGGCCCTGAGCGCACGAATCCCACCCGTCAAAACAAGGAAGGTCAAAACTCTCTGGTGTTGTGCCCGTCTGAGTGCTTTAAAGCCAAGTGCGTTATCGTTTTCACCCGGAGAGCGCTGCTATGATAGCAGCAGAG